CTGTCAGAGTGCAGACGCAGGACAGGAAGATCCGTCCGGAAACGGCGGCGGAGCTGGAGACGAACCGTGCGGATCCAAGGGATCAGAACAGCAGGGACCTCACCCTTGGTGCGCAAGGGGAAGACCGTGGTGTAACGCGAGTAGTCGTCGACAACCAGCAGAAAGTACCGCTCACCGCCCTGACCACGAACGCGGGCTGGGCCCCACACGTCCAGGTGGAGGGTCTCCAGAGGAGCCTCTGTCGGGGGGAACGAGGAGGAGTGAGGAGCGGCGCGCTGCCGCCCCTCGACGCAAGGAAGGCAAGGCGGCGCAGGCGAGGCAGGGAGGGGAGGGAGGGACCTGGGAAGACCAGACACAAGGAGGCGACGGTGCATGCCACGAAGGCGTGGCAAGGAGGGGTGACCCAGGCGGTGGTGCCAGAGAAGAGTCTGGTGCGACAGGGAACGACACTCACAGGCGTGGGCCACCAGACCTGACGCAGACACCTGACCGACAGCAGCTACCTGAGGAGACGTAGTGGTCAGTGTGTAGAGACTCGACCCCGGCCGACGGGTGAACGTAGCCAGGTGACGGCCAGTCCTGGAGCACGTGCAGATCGCCACACGCTGTCCGCCAGGGGTAAAGGTGTCAACCCACTGATCCTGGAGGACAGCGTTGCTCACCAGGTTCGTCGAGAACGAGGGGAGGTGGAAACCCGACAACGAGCCAGACGGAACCGCCGGACAAGGGAGGACAGTAGTGGACTGGGCAAGGACTGGGCCCCCCGAGGGGTCAGCCAAGGAGACTGGGACCGGTGCAGGAAGCGGTGTGAGCTCAGTACTGTCACGAAAGAAGCAACGGGAAGCACCTGAGTCAAGGGTGAAGGTGTGACAGGCCTCAGCCGGTGCGGTACCTGAGGGAGCAGTCTGTGTGGGTGCTGTACCTGAGAGAGCAGACTCGAAACCAGCCGGGACAGCACTGGGGGGGGCAAGTACAGGGGGCACCATACCAGAGAGAGCAGACTCACTAGTACCCAGGGCAGCGGGCTCTATACCTGGGTCAGGCGGCACACACAAGTAACAGTCTCCCTCGGCACTAACAGTCAATGCATACATGGCAGCAATAATAGCATCATAGTCAAGAGCAAAGACATCAACACCAGCCCTCATGAGCTCAGCCCAGCGGGGGCGCTCAACATCCGCACCCATCTCCTCACGCCAAGCGTCGTCAAGGCGGGAGAAGCAGCGGTACGGGGTGTGGAACCTCCCACACGTCTGTCCCTTGCGGTCACCTGTGCGAATGACATAAGAACAGCGGGCACTGGCCCCCGACGTCCCACGCTGAGCAAGCCACTCACGAAGCTGCTGGGTCGTCTGGGGACGCTGCTGCTGCTGGGAGCTCTGGCCCGAGCCAGTGCCTCCACTCCGACCTCCGCCGCCACCACTACCACCGCTCCGACCGGTACCGCCACCACCGCCACCACCGCCACCGCCGCCACTGCCGCCGCCGCCACTACTGCCACTGCTTCCTCCGCCGCCCCCGTCTCCACCCCCGACCCCACTCCCACCAGCGCTCCCGCCACCGCTCCCTCCAGCACCGCCTCCCCCCCCACCTCCCCCACCTCCTCCCCCAGCGCCACCACCACCACCCTTGCCCCCCTTGCCCTTGCCGGTGCGGCGCCTCCCACCAGGAGCAGAAGCAGCGCCAACAGACTCAGCACCAAGGAAGTCAACAGCAGCAGCAGCAGCGTAGGAGGGAGCGAGGGGAGAGGGAGAACACCCCTCAAAGATGGGGGTGCGAGGAGCGCCACGAGCAGCACCGACAGCTACAATGCTCTTTTCGGCCGCGAGCAGGTGCTCCTCTAGGAGGGCGACTGTGAGCTCAGTGGGACAGCGAGCAAGGAAGTGGTCTCGAACTGAGCGGAGGGTGTCAGGGAGACGAGTGACTATAAAGTGGAGTGTCCAGTACAGTGGAGGGGGGTTCTTAGCGCAGAACTCGGTGGGAAGGGCGGCACGCAGGCGAGCATCACTAGTGCGCAGGTGGGTGATAAGATCGGCGACTGTAGTAAAGGTGGACAGATCGGGGAACAGGTACGGCAGCATGAGGCGGCTAAGCTCGGCTGTGGCAGGCGAGGAGTAGCGAGCGACGACAGCGTCGTACAGGGCCTTAGCGGATTTGCAGTCGCCAAAATGCTCTAGCTCAGCTAACGGCAGGTGACTGCGAATGGCTAGGCGAGCAGCTGCGTCACGAGTCTGCCAGTGGGAACGAACACTAAGCTCAGCTGTGGCAGGAGGGGCAGGCGCAGCACCAGACGCGTAGTCATAGAGCGACACATGCTCCTTGCTATCGCTCAGGAGGAACAGCTGCAGGTCATCTAGCCAAGCGGTGAAACGCACAGGGCGGCCCTCAGCATCGAACGACAGCACGCGAATGGAAGCCATAGCGACAGTGTGACAGAGTAACGCAAGCTGCCGCAGCAGGGGAAGGCGACTGTGCACGGATAGAGAGCAGCGGGCGAGGCTGGCGCTACGGGCAGGCGGCGCTGCAAGCGGTCAGTGCGACGGGAGGGCGACGCTGCGAGCGGGCAGCGCGGCGGACGGGCCGGGAAGCGGGCAGCGCGGCGGGCAGGCGGCGCTGCAAGCGGGCAGCACGGCGGGCGGGCGACGCTGCGAGGCGGGCGGGCCGCGAAGCGGGCAGCGGGCGGGCGGGCGGGCTGCGAAGCGGGCAGCGGGGCGAGCGGGCTGCGAAGTGGGCGGGCCGCGAAGCGGGCAGCGGGGCGAGCGGGCTGCGAGGCGGGCGGGCCGCGAAGCGGGCAGCGAGCGGGCGGGCGGGCTGCGAAGTGGCGGGCCGCGAAGCGGGCAGCGAGCGAGCGGGCTGCGAAGCGGGCGGGCCGCGAAGCGGGCAGCGAGCGAGCGGGCTGCGAAGCGGGCGGGCCGCGAAGCGGGCAGCGAGCGGGCGGGCGGGCTGCGAAGTGGCGGGCCGCGAAGCGGGCAGCGAGCGAGCGGGCTGCGAAGCGGGCGGGCCGCGAAGCGGGCAGCGAGCGAGCGGGCTGCGAAGCGGGCGGGCCGCGAAGCGGGCAGCGAGCGGGCGGGCGGGCTGCGTAGTGAGCGGGCCGCGAAGCGGGCAGCGAGCGGGCGGGCTGCGTAGCGAGCGGGCCGCGAAGCGGGCAGCGAGCGAGCGGGCCGCGAAGCGGGCAGCGAGCGGGCGGGCGGGCTGCGTAGTGAGCGGGCCGCGAAGCGGGCAGCGAGCGGGCGGGCGGGCTGCGAGCGGGCGGCTCGGTGAGGGGCGCGCGAGGGCGCTAGTGAGGGGCGCGCGAGGGCGCTAGCAAGGGGCGCGCGAGGGCGCTAACGAAGGGGCGCGCGAGGGCGCTAACGAAGGGGCGCGCGAGGGCGCTAACGAGGGTGCGCGCGAGGGCGCTAACGAGGGGCGCGCGAGGGCGCTAACGTGGGCGCACGAGGGCGCTACGAGGCTAGGGCACGGGGTAGCGTGGTAACCGCATGCGAGCGGTGGTGGGCCCTAAAAAAACGGTCGGTAGGTCCTAGGGACCTCCTGCTCTGAATACCATGTCAGAATCACTAGGCAAGAATGATTGAACTAGCAGAAGTTTGGGTACAAATGTGAAACCCTAGTTGGGGTTGTACCCCATATTGGCTACCCCACTACAGCCTACAAGCATAATACAGTTTAACACTAGACTGGTTGGTTACGTTATGTGGTGGAATCGAAACTAAGGCCGAAGGCATGCCTGCGTGCACTGCTCTAAGGACTACTCACAAGCCCTCAAGCAAACTCAGTGAGCCAATGGATGAAGGGATAGTTCCGGTTAGACGGTTGTAGCTCAGATCTCTGGAGGGAGGAAGAATACCGGCCAGAGGGAGGGACAAGAATTGGGATTGACTGAATGAGCATGAGGAGTGCACTGTATGGTGCACATCGCTATGTTTGATTGAGAGAGATTGAGATGTGATGAGAGGAGATTTAGGAAGAAGGGCATAGCTGTTCCAGGGATTGAGCTTTATCTTTGCAGTACAATGCACCTTATCTGTGTTTTGTTGGGTTCACACAGTGAGTGTTCAGAGGATTTGACCAGCTTAATGGAAAGCAAAATGTTATGCTGGCTGTGACAGGGCGCATAGACAATCCCAGTCTCATTCTCCTTGTTGTCACTACACGTTTTCTTACTTTACAAGCACTGGATGGAGACATTTCTAAGTTCCTTCCATCCAGTACCCCTAGGCCAAGGTGGAGAGCAGGAATGGACAAGGAAGGGAAAGGAACTGTAGCATCTGACATAACATTTCGCTTCCCTCGATCTCATTCTTCTTAGCTTTTGAAATCAAAGAAACTTCTGAACGACGACCTTTCGCACGTATCCATCCATCCTTTCTCATTCCGATGTACGGATGAGGGTGAAGTGAAAAGGCAATTTTCTTGTTCCACTTGACACTGATAGCACTGTGAGAGGAACCAATCTCTCTTGGCTTGGGTACCTCTTCTCATGCAGAGGAACAGAGATCCTCGAGAGCAGGAGCAGAGCACCGAAGGAAACCACACTCGAAGCTTGTTGAAGGCATACAGAATGATTAGAATGATAATCAAATCTTTTGTCGACTCAAAAACCGACACAAACCACACTCAAACCATGGTATAGACATACAGAATGATCAAAATGGAGGAGGGGAGCCAGTCGGGGATAGGTCCAGAGAACTGGTTGGAGACCAAATCCCTGAAGGGAGAGGGCAGGATGGTAGAGGCGACGAGAGGGCGTGAGAGAGCGAGCAGGGGCAAGGAGAGGACAGGCACTGAGAACTGAGTGTACCTGAAAATGAAGAAAATGAAGAAGACGAAAAGCCGTTTGAATGTGAGATGGGATGGCACAAGATGAAAATGAGGGGTGGAAAAAAAGAGGAGCGAGAGGCAAGCCACGGCGCATGGAAAGGAGAGGAGGGAAAGCGAATGCTGCCTCGGGCACTCAGAGATAGAGCCAGTTGGTAATCAGAGCTGGCGATTCAATCAGGTGACTATGAGACTCGGAAAGCACTGACAAGTACTGCAGGTTGGTAAGACTTTGCAACGCATTGGGAATAGGCCCTGTGAGGCTGTTCCACTTGAGTGCCCTGCACAAACTCGAGTGCACGCATTGGATTGAAACCATGGTGTGAGGAAGCATGACGTGAGGAAGCATGACGTGAGGAAGCATGGTGCGGGGAACTAAGCTCTGACTTGCTGTTGCCGATTGGGTGCAGGTAAAATGGGACCACAATGCAGTAAGGTTTAATACACACGCGAGGAAGGTTCAAGGAGAAACAATGTAGTCTTATCAGGAACGAGCTCAGAGGCACAAGAGCTGTGGTGTGTCTTACAGTGTAACAGCAGTACGTGGGGCAATGAAGTGAAGTGTTATCAGAGGAGCACAAGGCATGTTGATGGCACTCACAAGTAGCATAGCTGGCTTAACTTGCCAATGGAAGAAGGGATGGGTCCTGAAAGACCGTTGTAACTCAGATCTCTGAAGCATGGGTGTGTGGGAGGGAGAAGGGGGATGATTTTAAGCGCCTCAGAGATAGAAGGGATGGGTCCTGAAAGACCGTTGTAGCTGAGAGCTCTGAAGCATGCGAGTGTAGGAGGGGGAATGAGGACAAGAAATGGAGGACGAGGAGCGGAAACGCAGTGTTGTAGAAGCTTAGGGGTCGAGACAGCGAGGACAAGGGGTAGAGGAGAGGGGTGTAAGTGGAATTGAGATACTCTCAAAGATCTATTGTGGAGGTGTAAATGGCTTTATTGCGGTGTACAGTACAGCAAGTGCATGGGATGAGCAATATGACGAACACCTGTTCAGGATTTTTTTTTTTGGCCTAAAGTGTTCAGGGCGAACGTGTTCGGTGTTCGCCCGAACACGTTCGCCGTTCGCCCGGCTCAGCTGGCCGAGGCGCGTCGAACACGAACGTGTTCGTGTTCGACACGGGCCTTCGACGAACACCAATGTGTTCGTCGACGAATAGGCCCACGACCAATTTTTAGGTCGCGGGCATTGGTGTTTGGGCTCAGATCAAGGCATTTCGCCGTTGCTTTAGTGCGGATCAAGGCATTTCGCCGTTGCTTAAGCGTAGATCTAGCATTTCGCCGTTGCTTAAGCTCAGATCTAGCATTTCGCCGTTGCTTAAGCGTAGATCTAGCATTTCGCCGTTGCTTAAGCTCAGATCTAGCATTTCGCCGTTGCTTAAGCGTAGATCTAGCATTTCGCCGTTGCTTAAGCGTAGATCTAGCATTTCGCCGTTGCTTAAGCGTAGATCTAGCATTTCGCCGTTGCTTAAGTGCAGATGTAGCCTCTCGCCGTCACACGCTGGCACTAGCATGGATGAAGCAGGGCGGTACTGGCTTGGGGGGTGGTGGGAGGGAATGTGAAACATTTGGATTTCACTCTACTTGGATCTGAGAAGGTCCTTTAAGGCGAACGCGAACATGTTCTGCGCTTAGCGCATGTATGGGCCTTACAGAAACCTCATGTACGAGAGGGAAGAGAAATCGGGAATCGTCCCAGTGAGAAGATTGTTGCCTAAGTACCTGTAGGGTGGTGGTGTGGTGGGTGGACGGTTGGAGGATGAAGGAGACACAAGGGAGACAGGGAAGTAAGGTTCGGTGAAAGCAGGAATCAATAGGTGCCTCAAGAATCGTTGAAGGACGAAGGAGACACACGGAAGGCTAAGGTTGATTGGGAGCTGATGAGCAGCTGTCATGAGTGGAGTGGAGTGGAATGACAGGCACAAGGTGACTGGGGCAGGCACAAGGTGACTGGGATGAAATGGTTATCGAAAGGGAGATGGAGAGGAGAGATGAGGTAAGGAGAGGGAGGAGAGGGGAGGAGAGGAGAGGAGAGGAGAGGAGAGGAGAGGAGAGGAGAGGAGAGGAGAGGAGAGGAGAGGAGAGGAGAGGAGAGGGGCTGCGAGAGGAGAGGAGAGGAGAGGAGAGGAGAGGAGAGGAGAGGGGCTGCGAGAGGAGAGGAGAGGAGAGGGGCTGCGAGAGGAGAGGAGAGGAGAGGGGCTGCGAGAGGAGAGGAGAGGAGAGGGGCTGCGAGAGGAGAGGAGAGGAGAGGGGCTGCGAGAGGAGAGGAGACATGGATACGCTCATCTATTTCACCTGTGCGTTACCAATGAACAACCTTGTTCTATTCAAGAACCCTGAACTGGACGTTACAGACTTCTTCTCAATTCCTATGCAGATGTATGTAATAGGCACAACTGAGGGGAGTGACTGGACAGGGAGGGTGACTGGGTGGGGGGGGGGGGTGACTGCACGGGGGTGACTGGATGGGGGGTGACTGGATGGGGGGTGACTGGATGGGGGGGGAGACTGCACGGGGGTGACTGGATGGGGGTGTCTGGATACAGCGACGTGTGATGACAAGAGTGAACAGCAGCAGACAATTTCTAGGAGCCTCAATCAAAAGTTGACGCTTGTCTCGAGGTGAGGATAAGAGTGAATAGTGAAAACCATCGTCGGGGATGCGTTTTCACTTGGTGACGGCAGTTGCTTCAAAAGCATGTGCGGCTGTCCATTAGCAATGGCGTGAACACGGCTGTCGAAAGCTGGTGATGGGCAGAGATAAATTCAGCGTATTTTTTGGCTCTACGTGTCTACGTACAGCAAAAGAAAACCCCAAAAGTGTGTTCTTACATCAGGTCCATATTAGTGAGGGTAGTGAAGAGGTCGGGGATAGTTCCAGATAGGCGGTTGTTGCTTAGGTACCTGAATTGTAGGATGGTTATGGCCCGGAGGAATGGGAGAGTGTAAATGAGATAGTGAATCGGAGCCAATGAATGGGAGCAGAGAATATAAAGAGAAGAGAAGAGACGAGAGGAGGCATATACAGATATGACAGTAGTGGTTAGGAGTGAAAGGGAGAGGAGAGAATGTAGGAGAGGAGAGGAGATTAGAGAGGATGAGAGAAAAGGAGGGACGGGGAGAGGAGATGAGAGGAGAGGAGAGGAAAGAAGATGGGAGGATAGGAGAGCAGGGGGAAGAAGGCTATGAATGATTAGAACAGAAGCTGGAGACGGGAGAGGCGATGAAGCAGCAGAGGACAAGAGGGGATAATTTAAACGGAAAGGAATATTAACATGTGTGGGAGGCTTGGGGAGGGTGTAGAAACAGGAGTGTAGCCGACACCAGACGGGGGAATGGACGAGGAAGGAACACAATAAAGCAAGAAAGAAAGAAAGACAGAACGAAACAAGACGGACGGTATGATGTGTAAAAGAATCACGCAGAGAATGTAAAATTGAAGAGAAAAAATGCATAGAAGCATTAAGGAAGATAGCAACGAGGGATGGAGAGGTTGAGGCAAGGGATGGAGAACCAAAAACACGAATTAGGAGAAAAGAGTACGGGTGGAGGAAAGGAGACTGGAAGCGAGACAAACGCGAAGAGTGCGAAATGGGAGAAAAGAGTAGCGTTTGGGATTGGGATACTATTCAGGCAACTGGGAATCGCAGCAAAGCGAAAGGAATTGGACCGGAATAGGACCCCAGTGAAAGAGTGAAGCGTCGTGGTCGGAGCACTTGACGCTTTGGTGGCGGCACCATGCACCACCAGTGCAACTCTTTGCTGGCTCCATGTGAGGGAGCCAAGGTCAGTGTTCAGGAAAACGCAACAGAATAGGTGAGTGAGCGAGCGAGTGGGTGAGTGAGTGGGTGAGTGAGTGGGTGAGTGAGTGGGTGAGTGAGTGGGTGGGTGACTGGGTGGGTGGACGGGTGAGTGAGTGGGTAAGTAGTGGGTGGGGGTGGGTGGGTGAGTGAGTGGGTGAGTAGTGAGTGGGCGGGTGAAGCATGAAGATGCTCACAGCAATCTGAGCTCGGTTAGCAAGCCAATAGAGGTTGGAATGGAACCTAGTAGCTTGTTACTCTGGAATTGCCTGAAGGGTGGTTTGCACGGTGAGATGCCATGAGGAGGGAGGGCGAATGCTTTGCTAGCCCTTCCTCTGCTAGCCCTCCATCACCAACTGTACCTTGCCGCTCCTTTGCACGATCCTCTTCTCATGGAGTCCTTTCCCACCTCCTTCCCCTCCTCTCTCCCTTATGCCCTACCCCACCTTCTGCTTTCCTTTATCCTTGCTGGTTCCTTCTTCGGACCCTCCTATAATTCAGCCTCCTAACTACTCATTTCGACTGTAGTTATGGCTCCGTGTTAGAACTGCGTGGTACAGAGAATGTTGCAGTAATTTCACGAAAACATACGCACAGTAGCAGTCCCATGGCCCAAGGCCCTTCCTTATGCTTCCCTAACAACCCTAGCAAGGCTAGCCTAACAACAGATCTGTTGAGGAGTTAGCCTAGCTTCCATCCATGCTGCCACTCGGCCTGCCTCCCAGCTGGCTACAGTGACTTCCAGCTGACCTTGGACTCGGTGTCTGCGGAAACAAACGAGCTTACCCCCATGCACACCATACCCCTCCCCAATCTCATTCCACACCACGTCATCTCGCTGCCAACCCTGCCAGCGCACCTCCCAACATCCCGGTCCGCCATCCACCCTTTATCCAACCGCCCACTGCCATCAACTCAGCCGTCCCTCCCTGCCGCATGCCACTTCCTTCCCCGCTGCAGGGTCCTTCGCTATTTACAAATGTACAGTACAGTACACCCCCCTTTGCTTATCCTCGCTACACCCTCTGTCAGACATCCTTAGGCAATAACCTTAGGATTCTGACAGCTGTCGGAAACCCTCCATCCACCCTTCCTGCTCTGCTCTCCATCACCTGCTTTGCTAGCCCTTCCTCTGCTAGCCCTCCATCACCAACTGTACCTTGCCGCTCCTTTGCACGATCCTCTTCTCATGGAGTCCTTTCCCACCTCCTTCCCCTCCTCTCTCCCTTATGCCCTACCCCACCTTCTGCTTTCCTTTATCCTTGCTGGTTCCTTCTTCGGACCCTCCTTGCCCCCTCCCATGGCGCAATGCCGCCGCCCTCGCGCGCGTCATGGGACCCTGGGGTCCGCCTTTTGTCATCTCTGAGCGGACCTTGGCCACGTTCGTCACATGGTCTGCCACCCGCTTCCCTTTTCCATCCTCCAGCACAATCACCCCCGAGGGCGCACCTCCTTCACGGTCCACCGCTGCTGTGAGAGCCCCACATCGAGCGCATGCTTGCGCTGCCTCCTGATGTACACCTCATCCTCTTCCTGCACTCCTACTGCCGCACCCTTGCCATTGGCCTCCTGCCGCCGCTTGTACCGCTCTATGTCCCTCAACTGGGCTACATGCAGGTTTTCCAGCGCCGCTGACAGCAGATGCCTCAGATAGGCCGCCCGCGCGTCTGCCACCGCGACCCACTTCTCTGGCGAGCCTGTGGTGATCACGTCCACCAGCAGCTTTGGTGCTCCCACAGGCAGTACCGGTTCCTTGCCAAACAGCAGATAGTAGGGGGAAACATCCTTTAACGCCGCCTGCTTACTGAAACGGTACCCCGCCATGACCAAGCAGAGCTTCCTGTCCCAATCCCTCTTGTGCTCCTCCCCGTATGCCCTCAGCCCCTTCTTCACTGTCTGGACCAGCCTCTCCGTGAGCCCGTCACTCTGGGGGTGGTAGCGCGATGTGGTCCTGTGCCGAATGCCGCTGGCCTGCAGCAGCTGGTCAAAGGCCCCGGCGAACTCTGTTCCTTGATCCGTCAGCACTTCTCCGCATGCCCCCAGCCTGGTGATCACCATCTCTTCAAATGCTTCCGCCACGCCTTCCGCCGACTTGTGCACCAGCGGCCTCGCTTCCGCCCACTTACTGACATGCTCCACCATGAGCAGTATATACCGGCGCCCCTTCGTGGTGACTGGCAGTTCCCCCGCGATATCAAGCGACCAGCGGTACCCCAGGCTTACTATAGGCAGCGGCTGCAGCTCTGCCTTCTCCCTTTCCAGCACTGCTCGGTTCCTGCAGCAGGCTTCGCACTTGCCCACCCAATCCTTGATCTGCTGCCGCATGCCTGCCCACCACCATCCTGTCTGCACTAGCTGCTGCGTCCGTAATGGCCCGTAGTGCCCCAGCTTAGCGTGCACCTCACTGATGATGCCCTCTCTCTCTGCTGGCGGCGGGACGTGCTTCCATCCCTCCCCCGTCCGCAGCTGCACCTGCTCCTTGAACCACCGGTAGTGGTCACCTCTGGCTCGCACTCGGGCTGGCACGGCTCCTTCCTCCGTGGTTGCTCCCTGGATCCAGGCCAGCGCTGCGTGATCTTCCCAGATGTCAGCTGGCCCCCCTTTCTGCTCTCCCCAGACCTGCCCCTTGTCTGCTTCCTTCGCCATCGCCATGAGGCAGGCCGATGGCTGCACTGCCGGTGGGTTCCGTGACAACCCATCCACATGTTGCATGGTCTTGCCTGGCCGGTGCCTGATCTCGAAATCGTACTCCTGCAATTTCATTGCCCAGCGTGCATTCCGCCCTGTCAGGTCTGGCGTCTGCATCAGCCAGAGCAGCGGTTGGTGGTCCGTCACCAGCGTGAACTTCCGGCCCTGCAAGTAAACCCTGAAGTGCTTCACCGCCCACACCACTGCCAGCCCCTCTCCCTCGTAGGAGGAGTAGTTCGCCTCGGCTGCGTTACAGCTGCGGCTAGCGAATGCTACCACCTTCTCCTCCTCTCCCTTCATTTGTGCCAACACTGCTCCCATTCCTGCGCTACTCCAATCCGTGTAGAGTGTGAACGGTAGGTCCGCCCTCGGCAGCTCCAGCACTGCTCCATTTTTTACTGCACCCATCAGATCCTGCACCGCTCGTTCCTGGTCAGGGTCCCATTCCCACGGCTGGTCCTCCCGAAGCAGCTGGTTCAATGTGGTGGCCCTGCTGCTAAAGTTGGGCACGAATTTGCGATAGTAGTTCAAAAAGTCCAGGAGGGCCCGCAGACTGGATCGGTCCTTCGGGGTTGCCACGCGGTCCAGCACCTCCACCTTTGCTTTCTGAATCCCAATCTTTCCCCCTTCCACTTCAAATCCCAAGTATGCTACCATCGTTTGCCCGAATGAGCACTTCCCGGGGTGGCAGGTGAGGCCTGCCCCCTGTATGGCGCTCAGGGTCGCTTCTACATCCGCCACGTGCGTGCTGCTGTCGGTGCTGAAGACTATCACATCGTCGATGTAGCATGCCGCGTTCTTGACGTCTCGAAGCACCTGGTCCATGACTCGTTGGAACTCTGGTGACGCTGACTTCAGGCCGAAGGGCAGGAAGTTCCATTCGTATTGTCCATCGGGCCCATGGAATGCTGTTTTCTTCTTGTCTGCTTCTGCCAGCGGGATCTGGTTGAAGCCCTGCCTTAGATCCAGCGTAGTGAACACTAACGCCTCCGCTAGCAGATCAAACAGCTCGTCCGGCATCGGCGTCTGGTATCTTTTCATGACGGTAACCTTGTTCAGTCCCTTGTTATCCCCGCACATCCTCTTGGAGAGCACCTTGCCCGTCAGATCCGTGCGTGCTGCCACTACTGTCGCCGCTGCATACTCCGAGTTCGACCTCCGGATGAACCCCGCCTCTAACAATTCCTGACACTTCTCCTTGCATATCTGCGTTTCTTCTGCCGTCATCCGCCGCCGCCGCTGATAGACTGGTATGTCCGTCGTCAGTTCCAACGTGACTACTGCCATGTTGCACCTCCCGACCTCCTTTAGCGTGTATGCAAAAGCCGCCCGGGGTTTCGCCAGCACCTCCTTCAGCTTCTCCGCATCCTCTGCTGACATCCCTTCTCCAATCACCCAGTCTGGCTGCCCTTCAGGCCATTCTGGCTGCTCTGGCCTTGTTTCCGGCGCCGCCGCTCGCTCGCCCCCTGTAGCCGCTGCCTGATCTGCTTCTCCATTGCGTCGTGACTGGTCTCTCCCCGTGTCTCCTGCTGTTGCGTCCGGCTCCTTTGTCACAGCCATGAGGGCGAATTCGCTCGGGCCGAACTCCTGCTCGTGTCGCTTTGGCGCCGATGCCGCTCAATTGCTTCCTCCAGCCAATCGAAGTCCTCCCGCTTCTTATCCACCGCGGCTTCCTCCCTCTCCGCTGGCAGCCAAATCTCTTCCTGCTCGGCATAAATGGCCACCTCCTTTCCAGTGGGTGGCCTCGCTCATGCTGCCGCTCATCGTGTTCCTGAATCTCGCCCAACATTGCCCGCGCCATGGCTTCCTTCGCCGCTGACCTTTCCGTTGGTGGCTGCACCGCTGCTGCTTTGTCACGCTTCCGTTCCCACCGCAGCTGGGAGTGGTACATCCGGATAGTGGCCACGAGCCAATGCATGACGTTGAGGTCCTTGGCCCTACCTAGTGCCCTCCTCGTCTCTTCTTCCGTTACTTCTGGATGTGCCGTTGCATCCATCATGAACCCCATTGCCAGCTCCCTCTCCAGCGCCGTTGGCTCTTGCCACTCCCCCGCCATACAGTCATACACCATGCCTGGGCCCGGATCCTCACCATGCATGCGGAAGGCTGCTGCGTTCTGATACGACACGAACGTTGGCCAGGCCTGCCTCGGTTTGCCCACTTCATTGCAGGGAAACTGCGCCGGATGATCCAGCCGCGTCACTAATGCCGCCAACCTTCCTGGCTCCAATATATCCTCCACCAATTGCGGCGTCGGTCGTTCCATGAGTGAGAGTCGGTACTGTAGCGCCGCCTCACTGACCCCATTGGTCCAGAAGCGCCGTGTCCGATGCGTCCTGCTTCCCGTCTGCGCCCCGTCCACGACCACCCCTGGCCCTAGTGCCGTTGTCACCTCCTCATGTGCCAGCTGCACTTGCTCCCTGATATCTCCCTCCATGTCCACGTTCTTGACGATATAGAGCACGTCGCCCTAGATTCGCTTTATCAAGCCCAGGACTCGCCTTAGCTCACGGAACAGGCTGCTCCTCTCATCCCTCATGCCTCTTCCAGCTCCCGCTCGTGAGTAGCCCTGGCACTCCCACCCCGCGATCACTATGTCTATCCTTCCCCACCGTCGCAGCTGCTGTTCGTCTACAGCGCGTATGTCGCAGTGTCCACACAGGAGGCTCCGATCCAGGGTAGCTGAGCAGAACTGATGAGGGTACCGCTCGTGCAACTTGCTTGCATGACAGACCGCCATCTTTGCCGCCTCCATGTCACTTTCGACCAGTATCCACTTTTCCACGCTGATGCCTGACTTCAGCACCGCCGCAAGCCCCGTCCCTATGCCCCCAAAGAGATCCAACACTACCGTCGGCCCCAGCAGTCGCTTCGTGTTGGTACAGAGTGCCCTGAGATCTGGCTCTCCTCCTGCTTCTCCCGGATCTGGTGCAGGCAGCCGCTCAATCTGCTGCCAGGTATGTATGCCCAACTCCTGCCGCACTTCCGCCTCTGTGCACTGATATGCCTCTCTTGGCTCCCTGTGCACAAAACGCACCGGCAGCGTACCGATCGGTCCGTCGTCCTCCCAGTAGCATACTCGATACTGCACTTTCTCTTCCCACATGCAGATGGTGGCACCGATCCCGAACAGATATTCCACGCCGATGAGTAGGTCGAAGTCCTCCGACTCCGACACGCCGCAGTCCACTCGGAGTGCACACTCTTCCGGGGTTCCAGGGTTTAGCAGTAGCGACATGGACTGCCGCGTCTTAGGCATCCATTTCGCCTCTCCTCCATCGGCCGTCATCAGCAGGTAACCTTCCGTGATCAGCCGTCCTGGCTTGTGTGGCTGCAGCTTCTCTGCCAGGCGCTTGCCGATTAGCACATGGGCCGCTCCCTTGTCAACTATAGCTCTAGGTGCTGTGAATCCCCCGATTGTCACTGCTCCTTCTGCTATGGTCAGTACCGTGGCCTGGCTCGCCATCCTCTCCCGTGGGTGCCGGAATGCTGCTCCTGGGGTTTCCGGCCTGTCGCTTGCCCGTCGCCTCGGCCCATCCTCCCGTCTCGCGTCTTCTGGAAAGCTCTGCCTTCGAGTGGTCCTTCTCAGGCCAAGCTCCTCGCGGTCACGCGCCGGCTGAGCCATGAGCATGAACTCTGGATCCTCCGCATCTGATTCCTCCTGCGCAACCATGGCCGGTTCCTTCGGCTCAGCGGCCTCCAGCTCCGCCAATTGTGCACGCAGCCTCGCGATAGTAGCTTGCTTATCCTCCCCTCCTTCCACGCCTCGCCGTTCCCTTCTTGTCGCGTAGCAGTCTGCCTCGCGGTGCCCCTTCCTGTTACACCTAGCGCAGCTTGGCGCACTGGGACACTCTCTCCGCATATGCTCCCGGCTTCCGCAAAGCGAGCAGGCTGCAGGATTACGGCAATCCCTTCGCAGATGCCATGTCATTCCGCAGTTGTGGCAGCGCCGAGGCTCTTCCCGTCCCCTTTCTTCCGCTTCCTGGTAGGCCGCCGTTGCTGCCCACGCTGGGCGCCTCCTTCCCGCTCCTCTGTCTGCCGTTCGCTTGACCTCATACAGTCGCCGCCCGGTTTCGACGCGCTTCACGATCTCGTAAGCTTCCTTCAGCGTGGCCTCGGGTCCCATCTCAAATACTCGCACCTCTACATCCTGACGTAGCGGCTGGCTCAATCCATTCACGAACTTCCCGATCAGCCTTCCTTGGTCTGTACAGTTCATGTCCTCAGCCAATTCCACGAGCCTTCCATAGTACGCCAGCAGCGATTCCCCTTCCCTGCGGCGGAACCCCCGGAACTCGACTACCCTCTCCGCTGTCTGCAGAGGAAATTGCTCGCGAAGCATCGCCAGAAAGCGCGTCGTCGGATTTCGCTCGCCTGGCGCCCGCTCCGCCGCCCATTCGAGTAGTTCCCTCCTGGAAATCCGGTAATAAGTCTCCGCCTCTCCCGCCAGAGTATTGGCCAGCCCCCTGAAGAACTCCTCTGGATCCAACCGGTCCTTCGCCCAACGCGCCTGCAGGTTTTCGAGCTGCATGACGTAGTTCTTAAGGCTCGGCCCCCGCCTCGCATCTCCCGAGAACCTCTCCGGCACCTCAATCTTGGGCAGCTGCGTGTACTTCCACCGCAGCATCGTCGTCTCATCCTCCGTTCCTTGTCACGAGGCGCTCCGCTGATACGAGCTCGGTCCTCCCGGTTGTGGACGCCCCGGCTGCTGGCTACGCAGGCGTTCCCTCTGCTCGTCGGATGCGTTCGTCCCGCCATCCCCGTCATTCGCACGAGTGCCGCCTTGCGGCCCGCTCGCACCATCACTCGGCCCGTTCTGGCCTTCCGTCCTTCCAGTCTCCTGAGAGAGATTCGTCGGTCGATTACTTCCTTCTTCGTTCGTCATCTCCTTACGCTCGTTCTGCTTCACCGTGACCGGCTCTAGCTCCTTTCCAGATCGTAACCGCATAGACTGTGCGTATGTTAATTTAGCCTCCTAACTACTCATTTCGACTGTGGTTATGGCTCCGTGTTAGAACTGCGTGGTACAGAGAATGTTGCAGTAATTTCACGAAAACATACGCACAGTAGCAGTCCCATGGCCCAAGGCCCTTCCTTATGCTTCCCTAACAACCCTAGCAAGGCTAGCCTAACAACAGATCTGTTGAGAAGTTAGCCTAGCTTCCATCCATGCTGCCACTCGGCCTGCCTCCCAGCTGGCTACAGTGACTTCCAGCTGACCTTGGACTCGGTGTCTGCGGAAACAAACGAGCTTACCCCCATGCACACCTCCCCAATCTCATTCCACACCACGTCATCTCGCTGCCAACCCTGCCAGCGCACCTCCCAACATCCCGGTCCGCCATCCACCCTTTATCCAACCGCCCACTGCCATCCACTCAGCCGTCCCTCCCTGCCGCATGCCACTTCCTTCCCCGCTGCAGGGTCCTTCGCTATTTACAAATGTACAGTACAGTACACCCCCCCTTTGCTTATCCTCGCTACACCCTCTGTCAGACATCCTTAGGCAATAACCTTAGGATTCTGACACTTCTATGAAAAAAAAATATAATCTGGGGCGAGTGAGGGTCGTTCCTTCACTTGGTTGCTTAACTGACCACTAGGAGGTGGAGGTAGAGAGGGGCTGGAATAGATGCGAACGGAAGGCAAGAGGGGCTGAGGGAAGGAGAGGAGAGTTGCAGGGATAAAAAGGATGGAGGACTGGACTGGAAGAACTCAGTTTTGAAACCTCTTGGGACTCAAAAAGGATAAGAGAGTAGGAGAGCCTTAGGGAACGAGGAATAGAGTGGAAACAGTGGAGGAGAGGGGCTGAGGGGACAGCAGTCAAATGAGAGAGGGGGATGGGATGGTTTGGGATACAAGTTGCTAGAAAAAAAACGTGAAAACACAACTGAAATGAAAAGGAGTGCTAATGACATACGTGTATGCAATGCATCAGTCCGGACAGCACATGTATCTGGGTATAGTCACGTGCAAGACTTGAGTTAGCGGTAAAGGTATTGACAGCAACAGAAGCAGCAATGGAACGAGCAGTAGCAGCAGCATGCATGGGACTGGAATGCCAATGACTGATATGATATGAGTGGAATCATGCCAGGCTAATATCCATGATTGTACTCACAGGAACCATAGCTCGCTTAGGCGGCTAAGGGATGCAGGAATGGCGCCTGTTAGGCTGTTGCGCTGGAGGTTCCTGCAACACGTGGGAGCCAGGGTATGGTGAGTAATACGAAGGAAGGGGAGAACGAGGACTGAGAGATAGAAGTGTTACGGAAGCTACGAGGAGTCGTGGCTGTAAGCAATCGCAACAAACATGGTTGCGTTTTCTCTTGGAACGGACCAAAGTGAATAACAAGAAATGTGTGATTGTAACAATAACCAGCCACTAAGGGAAGAAAAGAACCGACAAGACAACCAAGTTGGTTAGACCGGAGATGTCGGGAATTTCTCCGGTGAACTGGTTGTCATCCAGGTGCCTGTACCACCAAGCGATCGTTAAGGATAGAGGGCGAACGATGTAATGATGGCTACGATGAAGAGAGAACTTCACAAAGGGGAGCGGTGGAACACAGAGGGGGGCGGCGGAACACAGAGGGGAGCGGTAGAAGTAGAGAGGGGCAAGATTTAAGGATAGAAGACAAAAGAGTAAGCACAAGCGGAAGTGTGAAGAGTGTAGGAGTGGCGAAACGGAGCTTACATGTAGCGTAGGTTTGTGAAGTCCTTGAATGCTGGTAAGATGGATCCATAGAGCTGGTTTCTTGTAAGCACCCTGCAGAGATACAACTCCATTGATGATGGGGCAGAAGAGAAAATAACAGAACAGAACTGAACGGAACCGAACAGTACGGGTCTGAACGGAATGGAATGGAACGAATGGAATGGAACGAATGGAACGGAACGAATGGAATGGAACAGAACAGAAAAGAGCAGAACAGAACAGAGCAACGTCGTGGCCGGGTTTGAAGTCTTCCATGGATGTGTGCACACATCCCCAGTTCCTCGTAACAACCATCGATGTGTGCACACATCCTCAGTTCCTTGTAACAACCATTGGTGTGTGCACACATCCCCAGTTCCTCGTTACAACCCTGCAAAGATGAGTCTCCATGAGTGGATTAAGTGGCAAGGTCATGTCCCAGTGATTGATGAGTCGCAATCGCGGGGTCATTTTGTCAGTAGTGCTGTTGGCTAAGTGAAATTCGTTCATTACTCTAGTAACTATGGGGGTGGACTGGGTCAGCAATAGTGGCATGGCGTGTCACTTGGCATGAAGATGACTGTGTGTGATGTGCGGGTGATGGCATGGCATGTCACTCACAGGGAGATGAGGCGGTTTAGCAAGCCTACACATTCTGTTGCATGCCATAAGAGTAGAAGAAAACGTGAGAAGCTCACATTCATGTATTGGCACCTTATGAGGAACATAATGATAGGAAGAAACGAGCGGAATGTGTGAGTGAGTGATGTGACTGACAGACGGGACTCACAGGGAGTTGAGACGAGTGAGCAAGCCCTTGGACGGAATTGACCTTTGAGTCGACTCACAAGTCAACTGTGGGATGCAGAGCGGAAGTAAGTACTCACAGGGAGTTGAGACGAGTGAGCAAGCCCATGGACGGAATTGACCTTTGAGTCGACTCACAAGTCAACTGTGGGATGCAGAGCGGAAGTAAGTACTCACAGGGAGTTGAGACGAGTGAGCAAGCCCATGGACGGGGGAAGGAACCCCACCAACCTGTTGTCTTCGAAATGCCTGAGGGATGATGGCGAGGACGAGATTCATGAGGAGAGAGGGGGCGAGCAGTTTATGATGAACAGGGGAGAATGATGAGGAAAGAATGATGAGGAAGTCGACTAACCACCACCACAACCTGATGACCTGAGAAATGAACCCCCACCACCAACCTGATGTCTTGCTGTTGCCTGGATGATAAGAAGGATGGAGCGGCTTAGTACGGTTTGGCCGGGGAATGAGGGAAGGAATACAGAGTCGACCGATGTGGAGTTTACTTTTGAGACTTCTCAAATGTAAAGTCCACATAGCAAGGGGCAGATGTTGGAGCAGAGAGCGCATTGGAGCAAGCGAGTTCTATCCATCCTCAGTGGAGAAAGGGAGTTGTATTCATCGTCAGTGGAGAAAGAGAGAGAGGTAATGAGATAAGAGTGATGGGAGGGAACGGCAGAACGTAAGGAACGAGAGGAGGGGTGGGGTGGGGGGAAGGGTGCCGCTCTGGAGAATTCTCAGAAATGGACAGCTATGGATGGAAAAGGCGGCTACACGGGGCAGTGGCTGAAAGTTGTTAGAATCAGCAGTAACGATGCATGCGTAGCAGGCAAAAAAGAAAGCATGATGCCTATTTTCCAATGGCCCCTTCCCCTTTTCTAATGCCCCCCACCCCTTTCCCAAGGACACCCCCCCTTTTTCCAAAACCCCCCTCCCATTTTCTGATGCGCCCCACCCCACCACCTTACAGTTCAGTGAGCATAGTGAGTGAGGAAAAGATGTCGGGAATTGTTCCCGAAAACTGGTTGTTATTTAGATACCTGCAGGACGGTGGGATGAGGTGGTAAGGATGGGAGAGAATGTGAAGGCAAGTAACTGAAGGGCATGGAAAACGCAAGTGGAGTGGAGGGGATTGAACAGACGATAGAGACGACTTTTGAGTCGACTCAAGTGTCATTTCGTGGAGTGGAGAGGATCGAACGGATGATAGAGACAATAGCATGATAAAAGAAAAGAGAAGTGAGGAGAGGAGAGGAGAGGGAGGGAGGTGTGTTGAACCATAGTGAAAACAGAGAGCAAAGGAGGTAAAGGAGAGGAAAGAGAGGAAAAGACTTGGATAAGGGAGGACAGGTGAAGTGAAACGTGGACGGACAGGGAAATACTGGAAGAAAATTGGCCTTGAGATGAGAGGGGAAGTGAGGAGGGAATAGGAGGGAAAAGAACTGAAGAGACTATGAGAGAAAGTTGACAATTCTCATTGGCTTGTCACAGAGACGATTGAACGCACGTGCGATTGGATTGAGCAGAGGAGAATAAGTGGGGTGATGAGAGAAGAGGCGAGAGGATAAGAGTGAGCAGGCAATGACGTAGAGCTGAGAGATGCGTAGGCCTCTCCCCACCCTCTCCCTCTCCCTCTTCTCTCCCATCACTACTACCAATCTTCA